GTTGGACACACTGCACCATTCTCTGAACCCATAACCCCCAACTCTTTCTCAGGATAATCTAAAGACTATGCATGACATAGTCATTCTATGTCATGTAATTGTTCTATTGCTATTCTTCATATATTTTTCCTTCTTTTATGCTAGTTTTCTTTTATAACTTGCCCAGAAAACTAGATAAAATTGCTGATAGCCTTTCCTTAAAACCTATTTTTGAAATGAGGGTCATATTTGAGGAGGAAAAACTCAACTGAAAAATCCATCCCTTGGGGAGAGTTTGAGACAGTTAAGAGCAAGGGTGAGTTTGCAGTGGCTTAGAAGCTCAATCTTCTGTTCAATTTTGGGCCAGAAATGTAGTGATGGTTATGCTTTCTTTCATTTCTTAGAGACAAACTCCATGGAACAACTTGTTTACAATCATGGGAGCCAGTCTCTCCCCAGGAGCAGAGCCTGGATATGAACACTGCCATGGTCCCTTGGGAGTTGCCCCTGAGAAAGGAATCTTGTGTTTGTGTGAGGGTCACTTTAGAATTCATCTGCCCTGTCCCAGCCTCCACTAAATGTCCACCCAGGTCCTCAGCTGATGCTTTGTTCCGATGGCTCAGATTGATGGGGGAAAGACACCAGACACCTGAGCTGTCCTGTTGCCCTAAGGATTGCCCTTCGGAGAATTTGCTGTAGATTCTCCTTGTGCCGCTTGCAGAGAAAAAATAGTCTGTTTTGCTCCTGTCCTTATCGCTTGCTTATTGAAACTGTTCCCTAGCCCCAGCTGTTCACCTGGAGACTTTCTCATCATCAGTAAGTTATGCATTAGCATTTGAGGTGGAATGCTGACTTCTAATCTCTGAGGCCAAACAGTCCACAGGACAAGTGTGACAGATCCCTGCAAGGGTTTTTTAGCTGATTAAGGCACCCAGTGTGGTCTCCGTCCTTGAGGAAACTGGTAACTCCTAGGAAAAATTTAAGGATTGAAACTGTGGAAACAGATGGGTTGGGTGTGGTATGGAGACTGTCTTAATGGATAAGATCTATCTGCACTTCTGCAGGGTACCTCCAGGTTTGCCCCAGGGCTGCTCAGGGAATGTTCATTCAGCCTACAAGGGCAGTCCTTCCATTTTCTCACTCTGCCAGCACTTGAGTGTCTGCATGTGTCCTTGGGATGGGGTACAAAAGATCCAGGACATAGGGACTCCAGACAGTACTGGGTATTCCTGAGCAGGTAGAGATGGGGCTTGCATTCTGGTCACTCTGGTAACCAGCTGTGTAGCTGGGCACACACTTCCCCTGCTTGAACCTTAGTTTACTCATCTGCAAAGTGAGGGGGTGGAGTTGGCTCATCTCTAAAGTGTTCTTCCATTTGAAGCCTCTGACTCTGGTTACTTCCTCTTCCTCATCAACAATCAACCTTTAATAGAATTCTGTTCAGTTGAAAATTCTGATGCTGGGATAAACTTTGAAAAACTCTGCCAGGATGAAATATATCAGACTTCCCTGGCTGGAATGAGGGAAAACCATAAATTTAAGCAGTCAATACATGTGCAAATTTAGGACCACTGTGTGTTTAACAAGCACCTTGATAAAGATTAGAGAAAAGTTCCCTTCCAAGTGGGCTCAGCTGCAAATGTAGGGTGGGTCCATGGCCTAGCAGATGGAATCCTGGTGCTTTCAGCCTCATAAGCTCCAGGAGTCCTTGTGCATACGTACATATTAGTGGATCAGTGGCTTCTTTGGGCTCTAAGCACTTTAGCTAAGAGTAGAAAAGGATAAGACCAGAATAGATGCATATCGTTGATATGATGGAAAGAAACTTTTTTATCATTACTGCCTTAAAATATTGCAAGTAATTGAAAAGCTGCAAGTCTGGGCTTCTGATGCTGTCCAGATCCTACACTGACACAGCCCATCTGATTTGGGTAGCTTCAAGAGGTAAGATTAGTAATAATAATAACCCCCCTTACATTTTTATAGTGCCTCGCAATTTATGTAGCACATTAAGTGTACTTTCTTTTTCATTTGGGTTCTGATTCTAACCATTACCCTGGTGGGTAATAATTGTATTCATCTTAACTACAAGGAAAATGAGACTAATAGATTCAAAGACTTGTTCAAGGGCAGCTAATAAGTGGTCAAGTGAGGAATTGAACCCACATCTGTCTAGCTCCAAATTCAAGGTTTTAAATTTTTTTTCCCATTCAAGTTGTACATGATCCTAATCAAGATGTTGGCAGCCAGACCAAAATAACTCCTTAAGGGTCTGGAATTAGTCTGGGCAGACCGTCCCCCTTGTTATAATGAAGGCAGGACTCTCCCTCACAGGTGTGGTAACTATAAAGATTTGGGTGTAAATTCTAGAGAGGTCTTGGCAGATCTGAGCTAAATTCTCACTTTTCAGTTGATTCCTGTAGATTCTCTCATTTAGCTAAACACATCTATACTAAATGTATGCCATTAAACCAGAATTAATTCCCTCGCTATTTTAGGAATTACCCTGCTAGGTATTTCAGGAAAGCCTTGAGGCTGGAGAGAGTTACCCATCCATGTGATAGGAAAATAATGTCTACGGGGTGCCACTGCTGAAAGAGTCAGGGCTCTTCAGGGTCTCTGTGGCTTCACTGAGAGCACCATCACAGGCCTCTTTGGCTGTCTTCAAAATTGCTTTTCTTCACAGTGCCTGGGACAATTGCATTGATTGGAGTAGCCCTGACCTCTGCTGGGCTCCAGACCTGTATACTCAAGCACCTATCTATCTTGCACTTCCCGGTGGACACCTCTGGGGGCATAGCCAACTTAAATATGACTATGGTATTAACTGCTGCCTTCTCCCACCGTCTGTCCCCAGATATCCTCTTCTAGCTTATATGATTTCCTTGAATGGCCCCTTGTAGCCACCTCTGTCCCTCTCATTCCTTCCTGCATACCCTTAGTCACTAGATACTTTTGGTTCTACTTCCTAAACACCATTAAAATTCATTCCTTTTCATCAGTTTCTATTTCCATTGTCTTCAGGGAGGTCCTCATTATCTACTTGTCATCTTCCAAGCCAATCTCCATCTGGCCATTAATTCTTTGTCTAAACACAAACTTAACTGTACCCTTTCCCCACTTAACAAACAATAAAAATGACCAGGGTGGTGGCGCATGCCTGTAATTCTAGCACTTGGAAAGCTGAGGCAGGATTGTGAGTTTGAAGCCAGTCTGCGATACATAGTAAGTTCAAGGCTAGCCTTGACTGTACGGGAACACTGTCTCAAAACAAACAAACAAACAAACAGCAAAACAAAAAGACCAAAACAATGGCTTCCCACTGCTGTAGGACAGAATGCACCCTCAATGGCAGAGTAGCATAATTCCCATTAAATGCTGTTCCTCCGACCTGCCATTTTTCCTTTGGCAAAAATACCATTTCCCCAAGAACTCCTAATCAGTGTTAAGACCCCTGCTTATTCATCACTTCTGAGGTGTTGGCTTCCGAGGTGACTCCTGGGGGAGAAATTACTGCTCCCTCCTTGCTGTGGTTTCACTGCAGTTCTGAACTGTAGTTTGTTTCTGTAGCTGTCTATTTGCCAGATTTGAGCTCCTTAAAAGCGGAAACTCTAAGTACTATCTTCAGACTTCAAGGCTCTGGCATACTGCCCAACACACAGTAGGTTCAGTAAATGTCCAATGAATGGATGCGGTGGACGTACTCCCTCTTTGATAAAATCAACAGTGTAGCTTGTTGCGTATCCCTTGTCCCCTTGGATTTAGTCTGGAGGTAACAGGGCAGAAGTCATCCTTTCATACTATAGGCTGAATACTGACAGTGTATGAAGGCCAGAGAAACATTTGTGTTGCAGTTCATTTTTCCTAAAACTGTATCTGGGGTGGAATTTCAGGCAGAAGGAAGGACTTGATCAGATTTCCCTGTGTAGCTACCTCTGAGGCCCAGCACTGAGCAAAGGACAGTCCCACCTAAGTGGTTGATGAAATATCTTAAAGGCCAGAAAGAGCCTTGTGGAATCCCTCTGGTAGAACTTGCAGACCATTTGTAAAAGAGTTTGACACAAGATGCATCAATGCTGTCTCTGAATCCTGCTCTTTGCAACTCAAGGTTCTCCCGTTAAACAGCTGGACCTCTGAATGAGGGGACCTGAAAACTGGCCTCAGGCTCTTGTGAGCTGTACCTGAGTGAATGAAGTAGAGCAAGTGCACCTTTTCTCCCTCTCTTCATTCAGCAGAATCCAGGAAGCAGTCAGCACTCAGCAGTCAGCAAGCACCTGATCCCTGGTGTTGTGTGTTAAGTTAGGCCAGGTTCTGGCCTCTGCTATAGTTTCCTTTCAGTTAGGCAGAGTTGGTATTCATCCCGGCTGATATCTATCCTTAGATCTATCATTATACAAAGTATTCCACATGGCTCTTCACACTCTTAGGGAACAGGTCCTGTTGTGACCCCAGTCTACCCTCACAGGTGGGTGAGGGTCAGTCATGGGACCCTGTCGAGAGTGAGCAAGCTTGGGGACAATCTGTGTCAGAGCAAATCAGAAGAGCAGACAGGTCTCCCTCTACCCTGGCTCCAGGGCACAGTTTCCTTTCGGCCACTTTCTTAGCCTCACTGAATCTCTGGCATCACCTAGAATGATCAAGGAAACACCTCAGGCCCGGACACAGGCCTTAGCTGTCTCAGGAGACAATGTCCATCTGTCCCTCTCAAGCTGCTCCTACAGGCAGCCGTGGTCAAGTGGAGCAGAGCTCCACCCCAAACTTCCGAGTGGCCTCAACCCAAAAGCAGAGGGGAGACGGCTGAGAGTCCTGTAAAGAAGGGACGAAAAGCACAACCAAAGTCCTGAACCAGCCCGGGCTGTTTAGAAGGAACCTTTCCCTCCCGCCTCTCTAGGGCGGGTCTCATCCTTCTTTAAAAGAGGAGTGAGTGAGTGGGAAGGCCCCTCCAGAGCAGAGAGCAGCTTAAACTGTCTTTTGAAACAACAACAAAAAAACCGGCAATAACAGAAAGACTTGAAACTCACCTTTGGGTTCTGGGACGGGCTTCCTGCCGGCACGGTGGCCCGGAGATCCTCGGGTGACCGCGACCCGGCTCGGGTGGGCTGGGCTCCTCGCCGCGG